TAGGATCCACTTTATCTCTAACGATCAAAAAATCAATTATTTAAATCCCTATCAAACAAGCACTTAACTTGAGCTCAGAGCACGTAATATGTTGACCTCCCATGCTTTTTTGTGTTGGAGAGGCTTTGAACTTGCGGTTCGAATGTGTGCATTCCAAGTGCGTTGACGAGTTGAGAAGGCATCCGTTGAAGCACTAGGTCTCAACTGGACATCAACAAGAGACATATAACCATATTGATTATTATAAAAAAATCTAGTCAAATTAACATTTTAAGCATAAGTATAACCACTTATAAGTTTTATTTCTTAAATCATTTGTACTTAAGATTCCTTGGTATCAATTACTGTGTGGGCTTTTGTCACACGGCTCTTTGTAATCTTTTTAAATTTATCTGACCAGGCATGTTGTTGTTGAAAGGAAGATTCGTATTTTCGATACCTCTAAAGGAAAGTTTGAATTAGATACACAAGTTGATTGCCTTTTATTTTCTATAAATACATTCGATTTAGTAAGTATCCTATATGAAGAATGCTTATGGCAGATCATAAGCACCAAAACACAAGGCATGACGTAATAAGCAAGAAAGGTTTTCATTATTATTATTATTATTATTATTATTATTATTATTATTATTATTATTATTATTATTATTATTATTATTATTATGTAGCGGGAATAGACTATTGATTCTTATTTGATTCTAAATATATTATTGAAGAATGCCCGTATTTCTTATTTCAACAATGTGATGTATGTAGTAAACCTTTAGCCATTTCCTTTTCTTACTAAAGAATGCTTTGTTCTATTTATGTACAAAATAAAAGGACAACATACATAATTAGAAAGACTAGTGACACGAGTAAAGATGAGGGATTAGAGAAATAAAATTTACATAAAAGAAAATCCTTATTCCATGTTAAGATCATCCATGACCCTTTGTGTCTTCAATATGACTATTTACGAGGAAAATAGGGTAAAATATTCAATACTACTCTACTAGAAGGATCCATCTTTAATTAATACGAAAAATATTTGATATTCCTATGATCGATTCAATAAGCATTTTCTTCTACGATTCATATTCTAAATTCGATTAATCTTTGGAGTACTAAGCCCCCGTGCTTTTGGATAGCTTTTGGTTGTAGTCATGAACTTTTGCTTATCTTATAAGAATATAAAAATGTTTTGAGGAAACTTTCAAAAGAGTAACAAGATGTTAGAAAAAAAATAAAAGAATTAATTTGTCTACGCGACATTCTTACAAGAAATGAAAACTTGTACGTTTTAGCAGCACAAGAAAGTGCCTGACTTTTGTTGTTAACTTCTAAATAAACCCTCTTGAAATTGACCGCTGCTTTCTATTATAAGATAAGCTACCCTTTCTTGATAAGCACAAAGAATTTATAAACGATTTAATTTATAAATAAATAAAAATAATTTTTAAATTTGTGAATAAATGAATAATAATATTTGTAGGTTTATTTAAATATATAGTTTATTTATTTATGAATAATTTATAAACTTGTCAAGTAAGTTTTTAAAAACATGTTTGAATATGTTATTATTATTTTTATTATTTTTTAATAATTATAAGTAAAAGTTACTTATTCCAATTTGATAGTTAAAAATCAATCTCTGTATATCACAAGATAGGATTGATTAATTTGAAGAATCAAGTGTAAGCATAAGTCAATATATAGGGTTTGAATTAGAATAATTTCTATCTTACCACTTGTTGAACATACGAGGAAGTAATTTACCAAAAAAGTCTTCTTTCATTTCACTATCAAACGAAGTTTAAAACAATTTTTTTTCCCAAGAAAGTAGACTGTTATTGGTTTAGCGCTTGTTTGATTTTGATTCTCTTGATAAGTAATTATATGTTTGTATGTATGTATGTGTAACTATTTATTTTAACAAATGTGTGGTTAAAAAGTAACAAAAATTGTAAAACAATGATAAAAATAATTTTTTTTGAGAATGTGAATGTGCAAAAGAAGTGATTATCAAAGAATCAAAATCAAATAAGACTTAATTCAGTGTTCATACTATACTATTTTTCATTCAGAAATTATTTAATTCACAAAGGATAAATTGGGGTGAGATAAAGCTATAAGATGGCTTGATCACCAAAACGCATAACATTTTTAGATAGGATCTCGGACAATACGTATACCTGTAAGTGAAAATAAGTTCTTACTTTTCTTGTTGATTAAGAGTAGTATGTCTCTATGCAGAATTGAATAAAACTGAACAATAAAATGAAAGTTTTATTATTATTATTATTATTATTGTTATTATTTTTTACCATTAAACTTTCCCCTCTTGTGCTATTTTCCTTTCTACTTACTGATTTTCAACCATTTTTGATAGCTTGCTCGATTCGCAAATTGGTCCAACTCAAAACCCCGAAAATTTTTCTGTTTGTAAACCATTGTCATATGCCTTGGGCTCTTGGCATTTGGCATTTGGCATATCCAAGCACAAACAATATGATGCCAAGATGAATTTGGCTTCAATTGCTTCACATTTATTATCCAATTAATTATATTTTATTAATTCAATGCAACAAACCTTATGTTATTAATTTCAAAAATCTGATATTGACAAGCATACTCTGGGAAGATCCTTATAGCATATCCCACCAGCCAAAATCTATTATTATTATTATTATTTGTTAGCAATCGTTGGACGACCGTTTGGGCCCTTTATAAAAGTTTCCTATTCGCTGAAATTGGGTTTAGGGTTGTTAGACCTCTCGATCAGTTGACTTCCAATTTTGGGCTTAGTTTAGCTCAATCAATTTCTTCTCGAGTAATTCTTTGATTGAGAATAATTATTTTCATTTTTCTTATTAAAGAATAATACAGTAAGTCCTGGGTCAACTTGAATTTATGTAAAATGAGATAATTTTCTTGTAATCCCACTTTTGCTCGAGTTGCTTTCAATGAGTCATATTGTAATAATATTTTACAAATAACAAGTTGAGTAGGGAGAGCGAGATAGAAATGTCTATTATGTACGAGACTTAAACATTAGATTGGCCAACTTGGGTACTCTTGCAACTGGCCTTGAAGCACGTTGCTTACATAAGTTCAAGTAGTCATTATTGATGAATTTCGTGATACAAATGTTAGGACAGAGTTAGACAATAATCTCTACAGAGATTGGAATGAGCTTGCTCTATTCCTTAATAATAATGCATTTAAGCACGTGTTTCATTTTTCATTCAAAATGTATCGAAAACCTGAATGGTAAATTATCAACTTTTGTCTGGTGCGTTAATTGATTTTTAGACTATCGACGCTCAATATTTGCATGCAATTTCTCCTATTCACCACCCCACGCAAACCCTTTTCAATGAACATTTTTGTTGATGAAGAGAGGTCGGAAAGTTGTACTTTTGTTTGCCAATTCAAGGGTAAACTTGGAAGCATAGGATCCATCTATGGGTAAATGTCTGCCGCATTTATCAGTATTAAAGAAGTCATATAATATTTAAGAATAATCCTATTTGTACATAAGAAGTTACGTAATGTTTATCTTTTAACCCTTATCCCACCCCATGGTCTGAATGTTGATAAGAGTCTTTCGAATCCCAATCTCCGAATGGTAATTTGTCCATTGAGAGTTTGAAAAATGTTCAAATCAACCCAACACTCGACCAATCCAAAATCCATGTCATCGGGCTAGTACTAGTGCCATCGTCATCGTCATCGTCATCGTCATCGTCGTCGCTAATCTCTCCTTCCACCAAGAAAGAGCAACACTAAAAGGAAAATTGGTTTAGTCCAAGAAAGTTACCTTTAAAAAAAAATTTTAAATCCATCCCTTTTTAAATAGTACGGATCACTACAAAGAAAAAAAAAAAAGAAATCACATGGAATCATAAATGGTGAACTGATAATCTAGAACAAAGATTCAATAAATTTATGAATTCGAGCTGCTCAACTTCAAAGAGCTGACTCAATAAATTCTTTAAATTTGTAAGAAATTGCTTTTTCTACTTAGGATCACATCGCCTAAGAACCCTAATTTCAATAATTCTTAATTTGATATCCGTTTAGATTATTCTAAATTTTGAGTTGATTTGAACATTTTTCATTCTCTCAAAGTACAAATTACCATGTGGAGATCGTGATTCAAAAAACTCTATCATGATTCAGACCATGAGATGGGGGGTTTGGGGTGGTTCTCAATCTTTCCCTTTTTTTTGTTTTTTGTTTTTTTTTTTACTTTATTGATGAAATATAAAAAAAATTACAATTTTGCCATTTTTGCAAATTGAAATCTTTTGATTAACAGTAAAATGGATGGGTGCTACATATCCATAATAATTTACATAAAAATTTACCAACAGATGATTTGACGAGATAAATCTCATCGATCAAATAATTTCCTCATTTACATTTTGACACCTCATCAATACGCAAAACATTATATAAATAATTACATACAAGAAACATTTTTTTCAGATAGATTCCATCCATTAGTCCTTCGGTTGTAATTGAAATTAAAAATTTGGATATAATCTATAATTTTGTGACCGTTATTTTACTATTTAGCCATCATTTTTGAATTCTTCTTTCACAGATAAAATTCTACGATCAAAAAATTAATTATCAAAATCCTTATCAAACAAACAAGCACATAATTTGAGAGCATGTTTGAGAGTGATTTTGAGAATTGATTTTTTAACTGTTAAGAGAAAAGTGGGGTTCACTTGTGAGAGAAGAAGTCAAATATAATAGCTGAAATAGTGAAATAACGGTAAAAAAAATCAATTTTTAGAAGAAAAAATCATTCTCAAACAGGCTCCAAAAGATTTAGAATCCCATATGCAATTGGTCCATGAGCCTCTGTTTGTTTTCTATTCTTCCCCCATTAAAATGAAAAATATCATCGTTATCCATCACATCAAATTATCAAATTTAAAATTTTATCTTTCTTATGGAATACATATCAACTATATTTTTCATTAAAAATGAGAAACAAAGGACCTAAATTTTGTAAAATTTGGGAAGGACAACTTCACCGCTCTACCACTGCCCCTCTTTTCTCTCATCCGAATCCCGACGATTCAAGTGACAGTATACTGAAGGTATTATGGCGTCTCTAATCTTTGTTTTGCACAATAATTCTCGACCTCTTGGTTGGAATCCATCTGTTTGGGTTTGATATTTATTATTTAATTTAATAAGGCGAAATCACAACAAATGGTAGGTTTATTTTTCCCTCATTAATTTAGAAAATTTAATTGTGTGAAATTTTTGCGGTTTACCAATAAGGGTTCTAATTTTGGATTAATTAGCGCCATGTTTCTTGTCCACTGCTAGTGTTATTTTACTATCGGTTTTTATTTATTTTTATCAAAGTTCGTGACTTGATCATTTACTCTGGTGGGTTTATTTCGTAAATGCTTCGTCGAAACACTAGAACTGAATATGTTGGAACCTATATAGCGTGGCATCATCAAATAACTTCACTTTTATTTACGCCTGAAATTCGAGGTAATCAGACAACAATGAGTTTATTGTTGGTAACGATGCTTTGGAAATTATGATGCGGGAGTTCTTATTGTTTTTTAGAGATGAAAAGTGTTTATATGACGACTGATCAACAAAAGAAATTGGATAATGCACCAGCACAATCTGTTGCGAGGTTTGAAAACTCAGCTTCAAAGTTCAGTAGGTGGGGCAGGAAAGCACCGTTGGTACGATATGGTCTTCCAATGATTTCGCTTACTGTGCTTGGGGCTCTTGGACTTGGTCATCTACTGCAAGGAAGGTTAGTCCAAATGCTTTGTTGGATTAATGTTTCTGATCATGAATCAATTATCGTTGATAAATGTTGAACAATGAAGGATTCTGCATGGATTTATTTATTGTCTGCATAAGAATGGCTATGTAAGTTTTCAAGTTCGGCCAGAGACAACCATTATTTGAACTTTTATTTCTACATACTCATTTTCAACCACACACTCATACGATAAAATATTCCGCCCCCAGTAAATCCAAAACCTTTCCCTACTTTTTAACCACACATCCTTCAAATGAAAAATAAAAAATGACCATCATCAAGTATCTGGTTTCCCATTTCGTTTTATTTAGTAAATATGTTATAGCATAATATGATCGTTCTTGCTATTGATGCATACTTCCGTGCAATCAACATCAACCGCAATTATAGTGTGAGAGTTGTCCCTCTTAAGTAATATTAATAGGAAAAAACAACAAAGGTGAAGCTGTGTACAAGGAATTATATAAGAAGAAGAAACTCCTATATTTTTAGCAATAGCATATGTACACACTATATACAGAGATACCGTCTCTTATCTAAGCCACTACAGAACTTTTTTTTCTGCGGATATAGAAAGGGATGTGATTATATAGGACTCATACATCATAGTGAAGATATGCATTGTGCTCTTCTGTGGGTTTTTATTTTTTACTTTAATGGAGTGTTATTTTGTAGTTTAGCAAGGATATTGCTAAAGTGAAGGACGACCAGGAGTGGGAGATTATAGAGACAAGAAAAGCACTATCAAGAACAGGACCTGTGGATGCCTACAAGCCCAAAAATATTTCACTGGAGGAAGAGCTGAAGGTATATGAGCATATTCAGCCGAGCTTGAAAAGATCACTTATATCTAAAATAAAATTTAAACAATATTTTAATTGGTTAAAGTTGGAATAAGTAAGTTACTTATTTTCACAATAAAGTAAGAGTTACTTAAAAATAAAAATAAAAATAAAAATAAAAAATAAAAAAATTGAATCTTTTTTTAATTAAAAGTAAGAAAAAAGTGAGTTGGGAGACTTTTTACATCTTAAGCTTAGCCAAGCATGACATTGCTCATGTGTGTCGGGTTGAATTTGCTTCTGGAACTTACTTGAAAATATGTTGTTTTACAGACTTTGCAGCAGAAGGTTGACATAGAAAATTATGAATACAAGAAAATACCGAGCCCTAACTAGGGAAGTTAAAGTCAGATTGATGTCCGTCTGAAGTTTTTTTTTTTTTTTTTTTTTTTCCCAAAATTCAGCCAATTCTTGAAATGGTGAGTAATTGTATAATTGATGTAGGGATGAATACGTAGAGAATAACCTGCAACTATCGGCAAAATCTTTTGTTTTGGTTATCCACTTTTGTGTATGAACCAATTTATTTTGAGCTATTGTGAACTTTTTTTATCTACATTTATGAAAATTAGATTTGTTCTCTCTTTATGGAGTAATTAATTGACTTTGGATTCTTGGATGAAGAAACTGAAGAATTTTGGCAATATTTTCTTTTAAGTCGGAATAGTTTCTGGTTTGTATCGAGCAATTAGTTCCATTGTGCGTTGTTCATCTTGATATGAACATCAGAGCTTCACCATCTTCAATTTTTTGCTGATATCCATAAGAGTTGTTTAGTCTTTTTATTCTCGACGGTTTGCAATTTTTTTCATGTACTGACACGAGTGGCGAATGCAAATGATAACTTTCTGTATTTCACTTAACTAATCACTTCATTGTTATGAAATGCGAAGAGTCCTATTAATAGAATAGTAATGGCATATTTTATTATATTGTGTAATGAATCTGCCGGTAGACAAAAGGATCGTTGTTACATTACGTATATGCTTAAATTTTCCTGCTTCCGGTCTGCTTTAGTTCTGAGTTTCACCTTTATTATTTTGCATTACTCCCACGGGAGGTTAGAGGGGTAGAGAGCCTTTGGGGATGCATTATAGCACAGGCTATGTAACTACATTTTTCTGTTGATTGATTCTTCGTATCGCACATTTCATATAATTCTACCTATTAATTAATATAAAGCAATGAAGGAAATCGTCAATCAAAGAAGTCCTCTCTTCTTTCAAAGTCAAAGTCCTTAGTCTACTATACTTTTCCAAATGGAATGCAGCCGATACTGAAAAGATTCATCCTCTTTATTACTTCAATCGCTCAACCCAGAAGATATCATTCCAGTTTGACTTCTATTCCTATGTTACTATTTAAAAATTCAGCAGTAAGGTGCAGAGCAAGTTGTCGTGGCACTGTCAAATGCTAATTAAAATGGAAAATTCAGTTTTATTGACTGCCCATGTTAAAATCATAACATTAAAGAAACAGCAATTTGCCAAATGGGTAAATGATGCATCTGTATTATCAAAAAGATTATTCAGCATCAAGAATACTTCTTTCCCGCTCGAATGCATGTGAGATATTATCTTCTTGAAGTGAAAGAAAATGCGTACACAATGATTTTTGTCCAAGAATATTTGAAATCACTACCAGAAGTTGTTCGCAGGCATGAATTTCATCCATTTTCTGCACTTGGTCAAGCTCAAAGGTAAGATCTCTCCACGGCTGGTAATATGACCTGTGCAAAATATGGCGAAGTTTCTATTAGCATTCAAGCAGCACACACTAGGTAATATTTGTAATTCACCAGAGCAATTTATTAATGTAATATGAAGCTAAGAACACGTTAGGCCTAAAGAAACTTGTAGAATTTATTTTCCAAGAGGAAGTGAAGATTTGCATTTTCCAAAAGTTACGTCTACTTTCTCGGGCAAATATGTTCGGAGAAAAAATTTACTTAAAAGTAGCTTCTACGCTTAGATACGTTGGGCTTAGATAAAAGTTACTTAAAGCCCTTACTAATTTTTTTGTAAGCTTGGTAGTTTCAGCAATAAAGAACAGGACGTCAGTATCAGCTTTCATGATAAATACTCTGATATGTACAAATTTCTTACTAGTTTAAAATATAAAATGGTCCAAGATTTTGTGAACTGCCAAATAGGATTATTTTTTAGTGCATTTTTAGCTGAAAAACTCTATAGAAAGAATAGACCTTAACTTGAAAGTATCATGCTTGAAGACTTATGATGAGACGAAAGAAATAGAAAATCATGCTTGAAAACTTATGATGAGACCGCCATTGGAATGACAACTATACTTTGGGGAGGGGATTGGAATGGGAAAGTGAGGCAGTGCAACCATATTACCATCTCCAGGCAGGATTAGCTTCTGCAGGGCAGCGAATCTTCAATAGAAGCGATGGCAAAGAAATCCCAAGACCAAGCCAAATTTCCATATCTGAAAAACAGAAAGAACGCAGTAATTAGTGGGTCATTTGCTAGAGATAAGTAGCTAAAAATGGCAACAAAAGGTCATTGGGATGTAGAATCAAGGTACAAAAAGGTTAGTTTGTCACAACCTTTATGGCCAGGATGTTAGACTAGCATTTTAATGTACATGGAAGCAAAAGAAGACTGCTTATTTATCCATGTTTGCAATGACATGCAAGGATGCATTTCATAGGGGGTGCTTTACTGTATCTTTTAAAAGCCATAAAGGGCCTTTCACATTCTGTTTCAAGCTGGAAAAAACCAATTCTGCCAATCTGAGTTGTCCAAACTCCATAGATCTCAATGCCAACTTAATTTAATCATCTATGTATAGGGCTGGACAAAACTCCCGAACTGAACTGAACCCAATCCGATGGTTTTTCTCAAGTTAAATACCCGAACGGGTATTTGAATTAAAAACCGACGGGTATGATTCGGTTCTCGGTTCTAGACCAAGACTCGAAAAATCGAATAAGAACCAAATCTCCGTAATTTTTTTAATTAACTTATTTTAAATAAGTAAAATTATTTTATTTTTTCTAAATAAATTTGTTAACTAGTTAATTTAGTTCAAACAACAAAATATGATTTTCCTATTTTTAATTTTCAGTTCAAAATCAACTTAATCAAATTGACCTCAATTTTATCCAAATCTGTTATTCTACTATAGTGTCGTTTCTACCGGAGAAAATCGAATTAAAGCTCTACAACATTTCTCGTAATTATTTTGAGCTCACTATCTTTCTTTTTCTGTGATTTTAATAATCAAATTTATGAAAAATTCAACAAAGAGAGACGTGGAACACATAAGATTGAACTACGTTATTTTGTAAGAGCTAATATTGAGCATATTATTAATTAAATTAACATAACTTTGTATACATTAAAAAATTTAATTATAATACGGAACCGAATGGAACCGAATCCCGTTCCGTAATTAAATTTGGACCCGACGGTTTCACTTACTAAATACCAAAAAATTTCGGATCGGTTCAGTTCTCGTTAGAACTGAACCGAACCAGACCACATCCAGCCCTATCCATGGATCGTTATAAAATTCATTCCCTATTTAGGATCCACTAATGTATATCAGGCTGAACTAATCCTATTCATCAAAAGATTGGGCCTGTAAGCATATGAAAAGGCAAAAATTTCTGAAGTAACCAAGAATTTTTATATTTGTTAAAGCACCCATAAATCTGAAAAAGGAAACCGTAGATAGTTATCTTTATGCACAATCCATAGAGTTAGTCCTCTAAGATAACCTGGGGAAGGAGTTAAGCATGACATAACTAGCTGATAAATTGCTCAATCATACGTAAGTATACCTGTGGGCGAAGAACCAGAAAGAAGCAGAAGACACAGTGCAGAAACAACCGATGGAAGCAATCTATGGTTTACACCCAGCAACTGTTGCAGATAAAAAATTGATGCAGCTAATATCTCTCCACAGCCATATCCAACCTCGTTTTCTCCAAATCTTTTCTCAAGGCATTCTAACAGAGACTGCAAATTGTTGATGTTTGATTGTTCCCATATATTATCAGTGTTAAATTTACATGAAATCTTTCTGAGGATCACTGAAGCAGTCAACCATCGCAAAAGCTTTGATACAAGAGAATCTTCAGGTTCTTCTTTTTCTGACAATGCTGTCATTTGGTAATCGCATTCTTCAGGCTGGAGCACCTTTTTTGACTCTGACTGGATGGCATTTCTAACTGCCCAGCTTAAAAATTTTGATAGACTTTCCTGATCCTGCACAAAGCATATAATAAATTGCAATATTTAAATGAACTAGATTTTATTAAGGTCTATATGATGAACGCTCACCATGCCAGAATAAAAATGAAAAAGAAACTGCAATATATTATATACTAAAGAACAAAACGATATCAAGAACGCAAAATGATGTACTGGAATTTTTCACTTTTCAATCATAGATTTCAATGAAGCTGTGCACCAAAAATAGTGTAATACAAGTGCAGTGCAGGAACATCAATCAAATGATATCAAGCAACTGCGTTAATCTCCCAGTAATGGAGGCTAAGATAATAAATAGAGAGAAGTTGGACTAAGAAATGTGGAATGCTATTGAAAGAAGTAATATTGGTGAATACGAGACTTTCTGCAGATTGGAAAGCATGCACAACAAGATGCTAGATCGTGAAAGGCAAAATTAAAGAGGAAATTATCATGAAAGTGAGACTCAAAGATAAATGAGCTTGCTTGATTTTCAAAAACAGCATAATGACTAGAGAAACACTGGATAATCATTCAAAAAGATAGGGTATTGCTTTGCATAAATGATGTAAAACTAAATCAAAATGGGGTGTTTAATGAAAAAAAGACTTTTTTTTTTTTTTAATAGGTAATCAGAGAATTTTATTCCTTAAAAGAGAGTGCACGGGAGGTATACAATCACTTTAGGCATGAAAGGAGCAACATGAAATTAGGCAACCCTACAACAGGATTTTTAGCCACTGCATTAAACTAAGTATACAAAGTCAAGTAAAATAATTCTCTTATCTGCTCTGTTATTTTTGTTTGATCTTCGAAACATCGATCGTTCCGTTCTCTCCATATACATCATACAATGCATCTCGGGATAAGATTTCAGAGAAGTTTGCTATCCTTATCGCGAAGTTTTCTCCTCCATGCCTGAACCACGTCTTTTATACGCCTAGGTAGCACCCAATCCATTGATTGAGAAGTCAGAATACTGTTCCAAAGCCAACGTACACCATCACAATGAGTGAATAAATGATCAATCGTCTCTCCGTCCTTCTTGCACATATAGCATCACTCGGTTACATAAAATCCTTTTCGTCGAAAATTATCCACCGTTGACACCTACCCCCTCATAACTTCCACAATAGAAATACTATCCGTGGAGGCAATTTGCTTTGCCACACCATCTTCCAAGGTAATGAACTTTCCACAAATCCCAAAAGGGATTGAAAGTATGAGTGGACTAAAAAAATACCATCTCGAGCTAACCTCCACCTGCTACAATCACCCTCTCCTACCCGAATTTGTATCTCATGTAGAGCGGTCAAAAATGACGAATAATCTTCCAATTCCCAATCCTGTAAACTTCTCCCAAACGTAATATTCCAACTATAGCCCCCATTATGAATGTCTAATACATCACCCACCATAGCAACAGGCTCTAACGCAATGCGATACAATGAAGGAAGTCCCTCCTTTAGCGGTTGATCGCCACACCATCATCCCAAAATCTAATATCAGTGCCATTTCCCACCACAAAATTTAGTTTGTCCCTAAAATCACTCCATCCTATTCGGATATACCTCCACAAACTCACCTCATAGGAGCCACGACCCTCAACCGTACACCAAGCCCCCTCCATCACACCATACTTTGCCCTAATGATTTCTCTCCAAAAGCTCTCCCTCTCCACTCCAAATTGCCACAACCACTTGCCCAATAAAGCCTTATTAAACAAAACAAGGCTCCTCACTCCAAGCCCCCCATTCTCATAGGCAAACAAATAGTACCCCAATTAACCAAATGCATTTTCCTCTCCTCCCCTAACCCTGCCCAAAAGAATTCTCTTTGAAATCTCTCTAATCTATTTGTCACTGCAATCAGAATAGGAAACAATGACAAAAAGTAAGGAGATTTGAGAGAGTGGATTTAATAAGAGTAAGTCGGCCTCCCTTAGAAAGATACATACGCTTCCACCCTGCTAATCTCCTCTCCATTCTTTCCATAATACCATTCCAAATATGTATACTTTTAAACCGTGCCCCTAGTGGGAGGCCTAAATATGACATGGGCAATTGTGCAATCCTACATCCCAATATGCCAGCCAACTCCTCCACGTTAGTGACCTCCCCAACTAGAATAACCTCAGATTTCCCAGACACCGCTTCAAAACATAGGAGCAAACGACGCAGGTTCCTAAATTGTTCATCATCCGCATCACATAAGATCAACGTGTCATCTACAAAGAGCAAATGAGACACCTGCAATTGGCCAACCCTAAAGCCCCTTACCAAACACTCTCCCACAGCTCTTTCAAACATCCTACTGAAAGCCTCCATCACAATAACAAAAAGCAATGGGGATAGTGGATCTCCTTGCCGCAATCCTCTACTACTCCGAAGATAATCCTCCGGCGTTCCGTTGACCATAACTGAGAACGGAACAGTAGAAATACAGAATTGAATCCATTTACACTACTTATCCCCGAAGCCGCACCTCCTAAGCATATACAAAAGGAACCCCCAGTTCACATGATCCTATGCCTTCTGAATATCGAGCTTACATAGCATCTCGGGAATTCCCAAACGCAATCTTGAATCAATGCATTCATTCGCTATAAGCACAGAGTCCAAGATCTGGCGACCTTTTACGAAAGCATTCTGAAGCTTGGACACTACTTTCCCGAGCACCTCCTTTAATCTGTTCGCCAGGACTTTCGCAATAATCTTATACACCCCACAGATTAGGCTAATAGGACGAAAGTCCTTAATGTCGGTCGCTCCCAATTTCTTAAGGATCAGCACAACAAATGTAGCATTAGAACTTTTTTGGAACCTGCCACGTTCAAAAAAATATGTAAACACATCCAAAATTTCCGATCGCACCACCTTCCAACAAGCCTTGTAAAATGAGAACGAGAAACCGTCCGATCGAGGGACCTTATCCTCGTTCATGCTGAACACTACCTCCTTGATTTCATCCTCCTCAAAAGGTCGCTCTAAGCACCCGACATCATCCTCCGTGATAGTAGAAAAATCCAGTTCTTCCAACTCTGGCCTCCACTCAAACTGCTCCTGATATAGATTCTGATAGAAATTCACCAATTGGCTTCCAATTTCGAGCGGTTCTTCATAAGTTATCCCATCCACTTCCAACACTGTGATAGAGTTTATCCGCCTATTAGAATTAGCCTATGTAGCACTAACACTCTAATTAGGGTAGCGTGTCCGTGTCCGACACGTGTCGATACCGACACTCTTCGGACACTCTCCAATAATCATTTTCCATTTTCCATTTTTACTATAACTATTATATATTTTTAACTCAAAGTTTTTAATAAATAACAAATAAGTACTCATATTTAAAAGATTTCAACAAAAAAGAATCAATAATAAGTATAAAACTAAATTTAAACTATATAAATGAAGAATTTTAAAAATTTAATGAACGTGTCGTGTCGGTACTTTTTTGAAAAACTACGAGTCGACGTATCCGACACGTATCGTGTCGGACACACGTGTCCGTGTCGGTGCATCATAGGAATTAGCGATCTTGTGAAAAAACTTAGTACATTTATCTCCTTCTTTCAACCAATTGACCCTAGATTTCGACGCCATGCAATCTCCTCCATCTCCACCAACTTCTCCAACTCTTCCCTTAATGCTCTACGTTTCTCCTTCTCCTCCCCAGCCAACCTTCGACTCTCCTCCCACCTATCCAACTCATCAATCTCTGAAAAACACTGAATTTTACGACAGTTCACATTGCCCACAACCTCCTCATTCCATTTCTTTAAGTCTCTTTTCAAAGACTTCAACTTCTGATCCAACACAAAACTAGGAGACCCCCTGACATCGTAAGATATCCACCAAGTCTATACTTGCTCCCTAAAACCTTCAACTTTCAACCACATTTTCTCGAACCTAAAAGGCCTTCGTCCTCCACCCGTCCTGTTCCCAGTTAACATAATGGGGAAATGATCAAAGTACACTCTCCACAATCTTCTCTGAATGATATCTGAATACTTAGCCTCCCACTCTCCGCATATCAAGAATCTATCTGTACGAGAAAGAACAGGTTGATCCCGATTAGATGACCAGGTAAAATCTCCTCTAATCATAGGCAAATCCACCAACATATTCTCCCTTATAAAGTCTGAAAACTCCTCCATAGGGCCAGTGAGTCTCCCACCGTTTGACCTCTCAATAGGAAATCGAACCACATTAAAGTCACCTCCCATACACGTTGGTAGATTCCACTAAGCCATCATTCCAGTCAATTCATCCCACAAGCCCCTTCTACTGTCATCAGTATTAGGCCCATAAACACCTATAAACATCCACTAAAATCCATCCCTAATGTTTCTGAACGACATCGAAATTGAGAACAATCCAACACTCACCTCCTCCATCTCAAGCACTCTGGTGTCCCACATGACTAATATGCCTCCAAAAACCCCTGATGATCCCATAAACTGATACCCTACATGCTGTCCCCCCCATAAGCTACTGATCACCGCTCTCGAGATGACCTCTATCTTGGTTTCTTGTAAGCATACAAGATCCGCTCCCCAGCCCCTTAGCAGATGTCGAACACCCATCCTTTTCCCCACTTCATTAAGTCCCCTTACATTCCAGCTAATGATTCATGGTATCATTTTAACAGTCCAGCATCCCTCCCTAGTACTCCATTCTTGGACTCACCACTTTTGCCATCATAATTAACTGACCATTCGAGCCTCTTAAGTTCACGATCGCCCTTTCTTCTTAATTTACCTTCTTGTTTACTCATCTCCTGTCCCCTATTGGCCTCCAAATCTTCAAACAATTGTAGTAATTTGTTTTCGTATCCATCACAAGGCACGCCCATTAACTTAATGAAATCCTGAATTTTCTGTAGAACCCAGTTCAAAGGCGGGTGTCCAGCTTCAAATCCAATCAATTCCCCTGTTTCCTCCATCTGTATAACATCAATTTCTATTTCTCCCTTCTTGGCTCCATCTACCCACAACACCAGTGCTTTTTCCGTCCCCAAGTCACTAACCTTCATTGACTTAGAATTCCTTCTATTATATGTGTTCGCAACCCTTGTTGTCAAAGGTGTCGCGTCGTGCTCTATCACCCCTGACAGTACATGCCTCGTCCCTTGGTCACCTAGTAAAAGCCCATCATCGTGTAGGATTGTGTCCATTGCACCCATCGTTACTGTCTCCAAGTTCACCATACTCGGCTCCCCTTCTTTAGACAAAGGTACCACCTCTCGGTCTACATTAGTCCCTGCGTCGACCTCATCCATAACCATCCCCTCTAAGACATCACCTTTGTCATATTTAGATTGTCCCTCATCTGTTTCAATCCGATCAATAGACTCACAAGTGATTTCGAGTCTTCCCTGCTTTACTTGATTATGTGCCGATTCCTTCTTATTCAATTCCGATGCTTGTTTTCCAACAGCTGGATACTCATCCATACCCACCCCACACTTGTGGCAACATAACAACTTCTTGGGACCCATTTCATACCCACTTCCCACTAGCCTAATAAATTCCTCCAACGCTCCTTTCAATTCCTAGACACAGGCTATAATTTCAGCCCTATTCAAACAAAAATCCTGACCTTCATTTACACTGACAATGACAGTCATCTCCTTTTGATGTTGCATCCACTGGTCAGCATATTTCGAGGCATGTAAGTTTGCTATTACGTCTGCATAAGTCAATCTTTGTCGATTACGTTCATTCACCGGTCGTCGTTTGGCCTTATCCCCAGCAACAAAAGAATCAAGAATAGTTTGAAACACCCACGAGATTGATGCCCATCCTTCTCCATTCGCGCCTTCTGGCACCATCACAACTCCTTTCCGACGCCTATCCCCATACTTCGCTATCATCAAGTACCTACCACGGCGGTTCGCACAACGCTGTGCCAAGAAGGTTCTTGATGACTCATTGAACCTAGAAACAAAATCCTCATGCTTACTAGTCACCCTCAACTTGTCCACCATATTCATCATCCAAAGTGCACCGAATCTTCCTATGCTAATTGCATTTGATATCTTCGAGCCCCATTCGGTCAATCTAACAGCACCAAGATTAGTAACAGAAATTGCAAACTCCTTCTCCTCAACTCGAAAACGATGATTGAAGGCCACATCGAATTCATCCACAAACTTCGATCCCTGATTGTGTGTGAACGGCTTATTAGACGACAAAACAGGCATCGTCAGTGGAATGGGGACATTCTGCCCGTCATTCTGGTTCGTCGGCGCCGACGCGTGGTGTGACTACCACGCGCCGTCACACGCGCCATTTTGGCGGCGCGTGGGTCCCTCAACGCCTCCACCCTCATCGGAATCGCCTGCGCAGACCGCCGGTCAAGCGCGTTTGCCAGGCAGTTGGCCAGATTTTGATGAATCTGGAGCGGCTTCCCCTGTTTTCCCACTTGTACTCCGATATTAGCGTCGTTGTCTCCAGCTAGGGCGGCAGTGCTAGGGTTTCCACCTAGGGCCGCCGCCTGCTTGTGTGGTTTATTATGTGGCGTGAGGCCGGTGAATGGGGATTGGTAGTTCGACGTGATGTTGCCGTCGCCGGCGACTGTCGCAACCGATGGTGATGGGGTGTTCGATGGCTGGCTAAGGGTGTGGCGTTTGGATGTTAGGGAGGAGAGATCCATATTCCTCACTTTAAACCATGAAAAAAAGTTTAATGAAAAAAAGACTTATGAACAAAATGTCAATATTGCTTGTCCAGGAACAAATATAAATGAATTATGACAAGGACTCTGCTGGTTACTCTGAATAAGAAGTTTGATGCTAAATAAAATTGGGTGTCTGAGGAAAGAAACACACGAACAATATATCAATATTACTTGTCCATAAGTGAAGAAAAATAAATGAATAACAAGAAGGGTTCTGCTGGTGTCCCTGAATAAAAAATTGATGGTTACTTATTTAAATTTTTATTCCACAAAATTGTTCACTTCAGAGCTTCATTATTCATTTTCCAAGTTGCATTCATATATTAATAACCGACACAGGACTAAGTTAATCTACATAAAGCTCACTTATATAGAATTCAATAAAAGTGGGATGATATTACTTAGAGAGAATGATAAAGGAAAAAAAGGTCAAGGTCTGCTCAACCAAGGAATACAAGAACAAAATATATTAGGAATTGAAACAAGCATCCAACCACGATAAAGTTCTACCAAATAAAAACAAAGGAATTAAAAAATGGAACAAGTTTTTCCTTCGATTAGTCAAATAATCAGTCGGAAGAGTTTAGGTAATACTTTCAAAGTGACTCTTGATGGGAAAATCCAGTATATTAGGGATCGGCACTACATTTCCGACAAAAAGGAAGCAGGAAATGGGATATGATACATGCACTGTATGAGAAAACACACATCATTTATGGACTAAAACATTCAATTAACAACATATCAATTAGTGTACGAAAATTCCATTGCCCAGAATCATTAAGTATTGCCATTTTCAAAGATGGGTAGAGTGTATCCTACATGTAGATAGTCAAATATATATAAGAGAGAATGACAGATACCATGCCCATAACAGTGGTTGGGGGAGTACTCATGAGCACTACTTTCAGTCCCAAAGCTGCACAAGGACTGTACTTCTTTTTGGAGCATACATCAATGGCTTCACACAGCTGAAATAAACCTTCATCTGACAATGTGAAATGTGGTTGATATACTTTCCTCTTCTGTGATATTTTCAGTACTAATCTTAATATTTGCAGAATTGAGTTGACTGTTCTTTGTTCTTCCATAAGTTCACCGTCACCAATTAAAAGTTTGTATAAATGGCATGAAAGTTCTGAAAGCTGCTCCAGAGCATACTTTTGCAACCATTCCACAATATATCTGGCTGAAGTAACATCATTTATCACCTAGATTTGGAAAATAATGCAGAGTCAATAAAAAAAAAAATGCATCTTCAGTTGACACCTATGCTTTCACAATATGAAGAAGTTAAAAGGAACAGCGGCTAAAAATATGAATAACTTCAAAACTTTTCTTCTTTATCAAGTTTCGCTTTTTCCCCGTTATTGGACATTCATATAAATTTTATCCTTCTTAAGGAACATTGAAAAAAATATCGTTCTTTTGACATGAAATTTTTTCCCCACTAAGCATATTTATGTCACAAAAAAGAACAATGATCAGATGTCTGCTTTACAGAAGTGAACATGATGTGTAAAATAATATTGTTTTGATTTCACCATGTTCTAAGAAGCGGCATGCATTAACATCCTCTCACATAGTGGGGCAATATCTAAGAAAAATAGAGCTTAATATAATTATATAATGTATGATAAATGGAGTAATGCTGAAGCACTTAAAAGTATTTTTTATGTATGTTTAGTTGTTTTAGATCACTTTTAACTCATATATGGAACAAATTTTACAGCATAAAACAGGGGGAAAAAGTTTTAAATATGAATTTTTCTCATTATCAAATCCATTTTCATCACTCTCTTAATCTATTCATCATTCTCTTAATCTATTTTTAATCGGTTGCACCTTCAATTCTTGAGATGTGTGGTCTCTTATACTATTTTAAACTATGTAATTAAAATAATCATTCTTTGGGAGCACATGATACTCTATTTTGACTAGCCACTATCCTTATTCGTGTTGTGACTTAAAGAACATTGATGACTTAGTTCTACCAATTCTTTAAGGAGAACAATTAACGATTTTATATGGAAAAGATAATCAAAACTGTATAGTTAGCATACCAGTAGAGCACTAGACTATAATGAAAGAAACAGAAGGGAAGGGGGAAAAAAGGAGACCCCTGTCTAATATAAATGGTCAACAGCAAGGAAAACATTCTTAGGCTAAAGGAAAATGCAAGAAAAGTAACAAAACAAAAAGAAAACTTATACCTCCAATATTATAGGCAATTGCGTGAATATACAATTTTTCCTGTCTTCATATTCTTTCCAGCATAATGACGAGACAATAGAAGACAACCATAATATCAGACCACAGTGTTCAACTAAAAACCGAGTCATTTTATGAAGTTTCACAGCCTTCCTTACTATCTGCAGCATGCACCATTTGTTCAAATTCAGCTCTCACAGAAAGTAGCTTGTTGCAGAAATAACATAATTAACAAGAAACCAATTAAATGCATGCACATTTAGAGTGGAACACAGATTCCCTGAATCAAATAGGTCGATGCCGGAGCGAAGTCCACGGCGGCATTGGCCTTGCGCAGGTTTAATTCATTGTCTAGTTGCCAGGGACGCTGAATGGGTTGGGAGTGCGGGGGCAACACCTCCGCTTCGTACGGTACGGGAGTATTTTCTTGTACGGGCCTCAAAGTCTTATATGGGCCTAAGTTAAGGTTAGTATAAATAATATGTTATAACCCTATTTTTCACTACTGAATAAAATTATCTCCGCTTCGCCCTCGTGGACGTAGGCACGCAACCGAACCACGTAAATTCTTGTGTTGAATTCTCTATTTCATCTCTTTATTATTGCACATAAAATTCAACATCTCCCCTAAAAGGAATAAGTCAATCCCGTATAAAAATGTCACAAAGCACTACACATCTAGAAGGAAGTCAAACCCAGCAAAGAATCAAAACCAAACTTCCACATTGCGTAGAAAGAGAATCCCATTGTTCAAGGGTATAATAATTAGTTACTCTTTATCCATGAAACGAGTTAAAAAAACCCCAAATTCAGAATTAAATATGCTTAGTTGCTTTACTTGGATATGAGGATAAAGAAAGAGCATGTTTGGCTAAGCCTATAAAAAGTATTTGTGCTTAAAAGAAAAGTAAGTGAAGTTTTCTTATTAAAACTAAGCTTTTGGACTAAAAGTTATTTTACTTTTTTGGAGAAACCTGATGGGAAAAAAGTTGCTTAACAGTAGCAATTAGCCTTACATAAATGGTTGCCTAAGATGAAAAGTTACTTTAGGCACTTCTACATTTTTATAGGCTTAGACAAACATGCTCTAATTTCAAGAAATTTACCAAATACCAGAAAATTATGGAGTGTGTTTGGAATTTAATTAAGTGCCATCCTGATCAAGAATAATCAAAATGATAGTAATAAAGAACATGAAGGAAGTCTGGCTTATGATGATTATACTGACTGTCCAAGGGAAAAAGAAAATTACAAATAACATCAGGAAGTTTAACAATTACTATAACTAATTGTTTCTTAAGATAAACCAGTTACTTTCTCTGTTTTATAAATTATATCCGCGAGTATGAGTTAGTCCATGTCCAAGAAACAATTTTATATAAGTAAACTTCTCCCTATGCGATGTCATCCTAGAATCTTCTTTTGGTTACATTAATTCAAATGAAAATTTTAATCAGCAAATAATTTAGAACCTTAAAGTCCCTTTAATCCAAAACGAGTGCATCCAACTGTATTAAGTCATCAAAACCAAACAAAACATAATATCCATACATTAAATTGTTTGGCTGGATAAAATAGTTCAGAATCTTTATGAGAAAACTGCCGAGTATTTTGCTTGGTAAAAGAAGAGCTTAATAGTAGAATAAGGAAATTATATAATTGAGAGATAAAATACCAGATGCCTGACAAGTTTAAGGTCAAGTGTCATGTTGATGTGTTTTGAAAAACTGAAACATTTGCAACCTTCTTAATATGCATTTCTAGAGGCTATCCCAGTAACTAAGAAGTGACACAAATGAAATCAACACGGTAGAGAATACAAGAAAAATGTAGTAGAAAAGACTTGATAAATTTTGATAATTCATGCAGAATAAAAGCATGTGCATACATGTCTATGCACAAGTAAACATGTGTGCACGCCTACAGAGAATTTTTACATAGCACAGCTCACCTGAATAATAAGTTCCTTTGACATGTTATCTGAAAGAGGAGATCCATAAAAACTCATTAGCATTTCAAAAGTGGAATTTCTGATATATATTTGTGCATCATCATCTGTATTCATCCCAGCATACAACAGTCGAAGTATCCACAACCTGTCTGTTTTGAAACTAACAGAGCTACTCCAAAAAAAATTCTGGAATAATGGTATTGTCTGGAATATAATTTAAGAGAACAACAGAAGAGACAAGCATATAAGAGTTGATTTTAGTAGAAAATAATTGAAAAAGAAATAGATGGAAGAGAATTTTCGACCATATACCTTCATATCCACACTAGAACAACGCATGAGATTCTTGCTTATGGTTGAATAATTGTCATGTGATGGATCTAATAACACAAAAGAAGCCTCTGCAACAAATACAGCAGTTATGGAAGGAATCCTCTGCCATGGTTCTTCTATACAATTTTGCAAATATGACAATAAAAGCCGAAGTCGGGTGACATCTTTCCTCTTCTGACATTTCTGCAATCAAGGATTTGAACATTTCCAATCATTAAACCCCTATGCAGCTACGTCCACAAGGCATATAGTCTACCAAATCAACAAGTATAAGCCGTGTCCATTGTTGACAAAAAAAGGGATCCCAATAACAATTTTTTTTTTCTTTTTTCATTTTTTTGGCAAGCCACTATCATGTTATATTTAGCTAATATTTCTTTAATCTTACAACGTGATAGACAAAAGTAAGATGCGGAAGATAATTTCCTTGACATTGAAACATATATAAGCCGACTAATAAGTGATCAGATAAAATAGTATATGTAACATATGTCGAAAATCTTTTACTCATTACAGATGAATATTCAAAACTTTGGCCATAAGAATGAACGAAGTCTGCAAAAGATTTAATTAGAAATCAAATTCAGATTTGAGGAAAGCACTCTTTTATGGAGTTGTCACATTATATGGCACAAGAAGTCAATATCAATGCAGGAAAGTGGGTTCAGATGACTAAATTTGATAGATTTTATTTATTTTTTATTTTTATTTTTTTTTTGGGGGGGGGTTCAAAAAGGGACTCAGGTCAAGGGAATTAATATGTCGGATGATGAATAGTCATTTGGAGGGAGAAAAGTAAACTTAAAAAACACAGGAGATAAAGATTCCATTATGTGGGGCCGCAGAAAAATGCCATTTGAAGATTTGGGGTGTCTAGGAAAAGCGATAAGGTAGTCAAACAAAGGGACACCAAATACATCAAATAGGTTAGCAAGTTACAAATGGCGAAAAGGAATGTGCATGCACACAGAAAATTTGGGAAATAACTAGAATTCTAAGGCATGACACTCCAAGATTCTTTAAGTTTATATAAAACTATATTCGATAGTGCATGGGCAACTAAGGTTTCAAGAAGCTTTTGACTTCAATAGGTATTTAAGCCCCTGTTTGATGCCCATTACCTGAAAATGAAAATGGGGGGAATAGTATTTTTTTAGAAAAAAATCATATTCAGATTTGAGGAAAGCACTCTTTTATGGAGTTATCACATCATATGGCACAAGAAGTCAAGATCAATGCAAGAAAGTGGGTTCAGATGACTAAATTTGATAGATTTTATTTATTTTTTATTTTTATTTTTTTTTTGGGGGGGGGTTCAAAAAGGGACTCAGGTCAAGAGAATTAATATGTCGGATGATGAATAGTCATTTGGAGGGAGAAAAGTAAACTTAAAAAACACAGGAGATAAAGATTCCATTATGTGGGGCTGCAGAAAAATGCCATTTGAAGATTTGGGGTGTCTAGGTAAAGCAATAAGGTAGTCAAACAAAGGGACACCAAATACATCAAATAGGTTAGCAAGTTACGAATGGCGAAAAGGAATGCGCACGCACACAGAAAATTTGGGAAATAACTAGAATTCTAAGGCATGACACTTCAAGATTCTTTAAGTTTATATAAAACTATATTCGATAGTGCATGGGCAACTAAGGTTTCAAGAAGCTTTTGACTTCAATAGGTATTTAAGCCCCTGTTTGATGCCCATTACCTGAAAATGAAAATGGGGGGAATAGTATTTTTTTAGAAAAATGAGTGGTTGAAAAAGAAGGAAAAGTTTTCGATTTACGTGTAATATTATTTTATGGAAGATTGTGTGGTTGAAAATAAAAGAAAGAAAAATGAAATGTAATGTAATTTAATTTAATGGGGATCAAACAGGTAGTAAGTAAGTTTCTCTACTTCATGAACAGAAAAATCGAGCTACTAACATATAAAACTAACATCCATATGGAGAAAAAAAGAAACATAGGCAAACTAATGTCTATACATTCTTTTCAACAGAATTTGTTGTCAATGAATCAAGGCCTGCAGTGAGAACATATCCTATTTGTGACACCAATACCTCGTCCTTTTGTAATTATCTCTAGTGAATGAAGCTATTTTCCTCCCAAAATTTAAATTGTTGAAACCTTGCCCCTGTTTGAGCCTCACTTTTTGGGGTAAATGTGGTTTTGAATAGTGATTTTTTGAAGAACATGTGGTTAAATTTTAAGAAAATTTTGGGAGAATGTGTGTTGAAAATGAGATTTTGGAAAAATGGAGGCCAAACATAAGCTTTACAATCAAACACGTGAATCTTTAATATAACCCATTGAAAGACAGTGAACCGAGAAGCGCAGGATGAATACAGGATCGTACGTTTGCATCTGATCAACGGTCACAAAATAGTCCTGAAGAGTATCACCAAAGATTGAATGGGCAAGGAAAGGCATAAAAATATAGTTGTTTACGAGGGGAAAAAATTAAGAGAACAAGAAATGGCAAATAAGACTTGACCATAGTATAATAGTCCCAGAAAGTACCTCATGGACATCTTCAAAGTTATCTTTTTTCAGCTTGCTTGTAGTTCCTTCTTTGACAGTTCTATCATAAGGAAAATAAAGTACTGTTTGTGCACACAACTTGGGGTCAATAGGAACATTCTCTCTAAATTGAATCCTCCGACGATCTTCGAAGGCTTCAACATCAATATTGTTCAAAGAAGTTATGCCCTGATCCTGTTCCCTCTCTTTTCTCACTTTTAAAGCAGCAGTACCCCATAGATAATCCATTTCAGCAATAGTTCCAGTGCTCGACTTATCACTCGACTCAATTTCAATCATTAAATTGTATATTTCTAAATCAACTTCAGAAAGTGTTGCCCCATAAGAAGACAAAAGCAAATAGAGCAGTTCCCTTGAATTTATGCCAGTGTCTCCTTCACCATTAACTTTGCTTTGCTGAGCCTTGATGCAAAAAAGGACCCTGATCAACTTAACAAGTTCTAGCCGCTTTAAATTGAGCTGAGATGATGTCATATTCTCTCTCCTGTTGAGTACATTAGTATTAGGAATAACAAGTGATCTTAACATACTCTGCATAGGAGTGAAAACCAAGCCAAACTGAGTAAAACCAACTGATTTGCAGGACAACTGAATTGTTTTCGTGAATTGGGAGTGAGCAAGCAAAAGCTGTAGTAGTGTAATGCAAGAGAAATTCCCTTGAGACAATGAAGTAAGAACAGTTTGCAGCATCCTCAGTGTTGCAGGATCCTCAAACCTATAGAGAAGAAATGACTTGGCAAATAATTCTATGAAGGCAAGTGAGTCCAACTTGATAAGCAAATCATGCATCAATGCGGTCAAATCCGATACAGTTCTCATCATAAAGACTTCCAAAAATCTAAACAAGGAAATGTTCTTGCCATCAAATTGTTTGGAGTGATCAATGTTGCTGGGGAATTTCTTGACAAGCAACATCCAGGAATGAATCAACACACTAAAGAACCGGATTCTTGATTTATCCAGGACATGAGAGCTAACTTCCAATGGATTCATCTTGGTTTCTCCATTCTCAGGAAATAATAGCATCCTACAAAATTTTATCTTTGCAACAGCTCTATTCACAAAGTTTAAAGACTTCTTAAGTGAATCAAACTCCATTTGGCCATGATCACAGTCTAACAGATCCTCGTACAGACTCACATGTGGGCAGACAGAATCAAAAAGAGTCAATCTCCTTTCCAGCTTCATAGAATGCCCACTTAACAGAAGGTAATCTTGCACCAAAGAAATTGATTTTACAAGAAGGCTATTAGAGAAAGTATTCAAGAATTCTTCTCTTGATAAAGGAAAGGACTCATCGAGTCCTATCTCAAAAATTTCCTCGGAGACAAATCTGTTCCAGTTACAGAAACCATCCAAGAGTCTCCTCCCATAGAAAGAAATCATATACTCAAAGTGCTTGAAAAATTGCCTCCCGAACTTCAGAAGAATTGAATTCAAGTACAAGAGGACCACTGGGAGACACATTACCACTTCTTCATCAGAAATTAGGTCCAAACAATTTTCCGGCATCGACTTGGCCTGGGGAAGCAAAGATTTATTTGGCACTTCAGAAATCATGTGTCCAGAGAGAGATAGATGCAGGGGGCTCATTTCAGAAATAAGAAACAATAACTCACTTTTCGTTTTGTTTATCCTGTGCAAGCAATGAGAGAGCATATTTACAGGAGTACTTGCTATAACTCTTGTCATAACCATAATAGGGTGGAGATATGGATTTTGCACAACTGTATGCATTCTTTTAACAACCTTGACAGCTTTTAGAAGACATGTATCGGCAACGTCCAGTTCAAAACGACTGGAAATCTCATATACTTGAAAAAAAATTCCCTCAAACAGGGGAACATCAAAACTTTTCTCTTTTACTCCACCAAAAAAATTGAATTCTGTACTTCCTAAGAATGGCTGCCACATATCTTCCCACAGAAAATCGAAAGCCCAACCAGCAACATGTAAACCAACAGAAAGAGCTGAATTTTTCCATGACAGACAAAAAGCCACGTCTTGGAAATCAATCCTGGAGAACAACCACTTTACCAGTTCAAGTAGCTCAAAGGGAGATATGAAGCGAATCAAAGTGTGCAAAGCATAAAACGTTGGAAGTAGAGGCTTCAAGTCCTTTGTTTTGATACATCCATCAAATTTATTCTTAAATGTCAGAAACAGTTTATGCACTAGGATTTTGAATGCCTTCGCTATCCTCTTATTAGCATGACTACCCTCCAATTGAGATCTCTCACAGTTGCAACTAGAAAACAAAAGCTTGCAAGTTGTCCCTAATAAAGTTAGGACATGATGATTCATCCTATGCACTCCTTGTTTAGCTACTTGGAGAAGTATTTCCGAAGGTTCCCCAAAAACTGAATCTTCATTACCAGAAAAAGGCCATGTCAGCGATGCTGTCACTGCAGGATGATTAAAGATAATTTCTGCAACCTCTGCAGCATACTGCAGTTGTAAAGGAGCATGAGCATAAGCTGAAGAAAAATTATTAGTATTTTCAGCAAATATTTGTTTCAATGAGTGCACCGCAAGAGTAAAGCACAATTCAGAAAGCATCTCAAGTTCATCCAATGGTCTAGCTCTGTAGGATGATTGTGCCTGATTGATCCAGAAAAGTAAGTTGCAGAGAGAAGAAATCAAATGATCACGGGGCATCTCTGACAGTTTAGCCAGAAGAAGTTTTTGCAGCTTCGGGTGCTTGAACAAATGTGAATCACTGCTTTGTGCAATGGATGAAAAAATCACATGAAATGGTGTTTTTTCTAAATAGAGACAAAATGCAGCCGAAGCAGCTTCCATTGAATAGAGATCAACTTTGTGAATCATCTCATCCTCTCTCTCTTCACCATGCATTCTAACACTTTCCAAACCAGCAGTGAACATTTCAGGCCACAATTTAGAAACATCACTAAGAAAACTTGATTGAAGAAAAAATATAGATGCCAAGACTGGGAAAGCGGCCCCAATTAAGTTATTTGCAATAGATATGACTGAGGGGAAATTCCATAATATCTCAGCAGGTGATGTGCACGTCATTGAAAAGGAAAACCCCAGTGTTGATCCAACTAATCCAGTACTACATTCACTATTCACAACTCTTTTAACATCCCTGAGAGTACTGACAAAGGAACTGTCAAAATGCATAACTTCCCCAGGAATTGAAGAAATTTTATAAGTTAGTTGCTGCAAAATGTTTCGTGAAAAAAGCAACAGTATCTTCAATGGCCTCCACTCACACGGGCAGGCCGAAAGATCCAAGACATCAACCTTTCGGCCAGAACTCTCCAACTTCTCAGATAACAAATGGTCAATTAGAAATGATAATGGGCCAGCATCTACCTAGCCAAGTTCAATTACTAAACTGTGTCAACGTATCAACGAGCAAACCTTCATATCAGAATCATATAGGGGAAGTAAACGAAGGACAAAAGTAAATAGCATTAAGAAAGAAAGATGTAATGCTACCTGTGTGTCCATTATATATTTGATTGTGCAACACACGTACAATGATATTAGTGTCTTTTGGGGTAATGTGAAGGCACCAGAGCCAGAACTAAGCAACCGCAGGCACTTCTTCAAGATACAAATAATGAAAGGGCTAAATTCAGGAATTAAATCTGCCAGAATATCACATCACTATTAGAATGCAACTTACTTATGCTACCAAAGAAAGGCTTCAATGCAATTAAAATTATTAATCACAGGTTGAACAGGAAACAGGGGCTTCAGATTTTTTAACTTAATACAATACATGGAATACCTAAAAGATCTCAGTATTAAACCACTATGTTAATTGTTATAATAGTGAGAACTAGAAGACTAGGAAAAACAGATCAGGTTGCAAATAAATTCCAGATCCGAGCTAACTACTGTCAGCGAAAGGTGAAAACAAGTGCACCAATGTTACACACATAACACAAAGACATGGAAACAGTTTATTAGAAACCGGAAGTAATAAAAATGCCACATTAGTCGAGTGTTACCAGAAATCACTAGAACCAAGTAAATAGTGAATTTATAAGGTCATTACAGAATTAGATATCAATTTTGCTATGCTAAAATTGGCTATTTGAATCATTTTCTTCAATAAACTTCCTTTGTCTGCAAAATTATTGAAATAAATAATTAATCACAGAAGTATAATTTACAACTCCACAAAAAAATTGGTAGTTTCCTTTTATTTTGTACAAGTTCTTCACAAATTAAAAGATCCAATACCTTCAAGAAAGATTCTTTATAGCTTATAAATTAATCTATGGTAGGGAATCACATTTTTCACTAACTAGCAATTGCAATACTGATCCAATTTCATGAATTGCTTATTCATATTGCGGCTGTCATAAAAAAAGACAATTCACTATAGTGACTAAGGGACAAAATCAAACCCCACCAATCTCCTAACACTGTTTTATGGAATAATACGACTTTCACTCCTTCAAGACAACTGGTCACAATTACAAATAGAAAAAGGATAGGGCAAAAGAAAATATTAAAAAAAAAAGAGAGAGAAAAAAAAGAAGTGTATGGAAGGAGTTCCACTGCACTATGACTCAAAATATTAAAATAAAATAAAATAAACAGAAACTAAAGCTAAGCTCCTAATGCCAGATAATAACAATCAAAAAACATATACTACAATTCCTTCTCAAAAATTTTCCACTTATCCTTGGTCTGCACGTCCTCGATCATTATAAATTCTCTCTACACTAATTTCTTGAGTTCTCTTACTTCATTCATCGACTTGAAGAAATTCATTTTATCACTAGCTCTGATCCATAATTTATTTTTATACTAATTCTCAACCTCAAAAACAAAAATTGCAGGAGAAATTTTTACATAGAAACAATTGATCACTAATGAGAACAGTTTGATAAAAGAAACTGTAGCTTCAGTTAAAAAAATTTCAATTACCTTTACCGCCTTCTGAATCATAGGTGTAATGCCTCAAGAGGTCCGTGTATTTAAATAAGTTATTTCCAATAGTCGAAACAGCATCACATAAAAAAGAAACAATAATTGAAGACAACTTTTGGAAGATTTCAACCTCTGGTTCTTTTACATAAATGCTGTTGCTGTTATAGCCTGGTATAAAGAAAAACCAAGCACAAATTTCCCTTGTGTTATTGTCAAATGCACCAGTACTTAACATGGTTGCCTGTGCCAGAACATAAGCTTGCTCTTTTATCTCTCTGGTTGGTGAATGTATTAACAAGCCCAGAAATGGACGCAGATGCCTATACATTTGTGCCTGGGTTCTAATTGGAGTCTCGTATTTGGAAAACGAACCAACATGCTGTATAAGCAGTGGTAAACAAGACTGCAGCACAACAGGTGGTAGTGATGAAGGATTACTTGGTAGAACTTTAAAGAAATCGAAAGACCCTTCAAATACTGCAGGCATGGTCCTCTGCAAAAGAGTATCAGAGCATCAACAGAAAAATATAGAATAATTTACCTAGGAAGAATGGCAATTATCCTATTGGCCCTGGTGAAACAATTATTCAAATTTATTTGTTTAAATCCTTGATTATCTTCTTAATATCATTCATCATCCTTAAAGCTTAGCCAACAATGTCGTACATCAACATAGTTATTGTGGATTTACAAATTCAGAAATATTTATCCTTTTTTAGTACTTGACTTCAGAATAGATTTTCTAAGCCCCTGTTTGGGGGCTGGCGCTCAGTGTTAAAACAAAATGGAAAATGCTTCTTGTAAGTAACTATTTACATAATGTTTTACATAATGATGAGGTGTCAAAATTTAAGTAGGTAAATTGTTTAATTGATGAGATTTTGAACCGGTTATATCTCACCATATCATCTGTTAGTAAATCATTTGGTATACGTGTAGCACAACCGGAATAAAATTTTAATAAATTTTAATAAAAGTTGATAAAATGCGTGATCAAAAAATTGTGAATCTCATTAAATATGTAATTAAAATTAATTGTCAACTTAGACTCAGCTAAAGGTGAAAATTTTAGCTAAACTCAGGAAGATCAATTTATTTCATAGATATTCTAATAGTTCTCATCTACACTAAAATATTTAGCATCTCACAACTTACATGATAGATTTGAAGTACATAGAGCAGTTTGGAGTAAAAATATGTTTCCCCTTCTTCTAGAGCCATGTCCATTACAGGGCATTGACGCAAACCCCAAATATCTCCAATAGTCTTCACAAAATTAGTTCCATTACTTGGCTGATGCTCATCGCTGAAATCCACAATCCCTTCAATGTCCCCAGATGAATTCAGCTCGGGAAAAGAATTAATCCCACCTACTAGAATGTCCACATCCTCATTTGCAGTAGAAGCTTTCAATTTTTTCCTATCATTCATATAATGTTCTGAAGTAAAATCTGATTCAGTTTTTCTCTTTGAATGAGACTCAAGATTCTTGTAGTGGCTAATCATAGAAGACAAAAAAGACAAAAGAACTTGGGGATCAGGAAGCAAAATACGAACTTCGTTCTGAATGTCTTGCTCTAGAGCCTTCCACCTGTACAGCATTTGATTCCTCGAATAACTTGTCTCCAGAGAATGCAGTAAAGACTCCAAGAACTTTAATTCCTCCAGTACAAGCCTCAAAGTTCCATGTTTTACAAGAGAATCAGAGTGAAGTAACCCTTTATTTATTACTAATCTAGAGAAAGGTCGTGGGCTTATACATTTTATTATACTTTGCACATATGGACTATCAAAGGTAGGTGGCTCTAGAGAATCAACAAAACCAAAAGCAAGCCCCTCACTCACTGCGGAAACGACATTTGCAGCCAAAGAAACAGCAGCAGACCTGCAAATACCTCGAGTTACTGCACATAATGACACACTAAGACACATAAAACTTATGAAATATACACAAAATTCGAATGTGTTTGTTCACATGTATCAATATATTTTGCTCGTCATAGTATGTGTTGCACAAATTTTATATCTAGAATTCATAACAAATTGGTACTGCATTAAAAAATGCTAACCAGTTAGGTGATGCGAGATCTTCAAGGTTGAAAGGGAACTCGTCCAAATACGCAGAACCAAGTGAAGGCCTTCCATTCACAATAGCCAGAAGGAGATCCTTATGGTACTCGACCTCAGTTGCCTTCAACTTCTTCATCAGACCCAAAAGCCGTTTTGGATTTCCTCTCAAAGGACTTGGCTGTCTGTCTAAATCTGGCATCAAGCCATTCTCAGGATTAGTACACACCTTAATCAACACACTGTGAGCCAGAGCCGCAGCATCCCCAAAATCAGCCCTCCCTGAAATGCTAACCAACTGTTCCAGAGTAACACTACCGAACAACACACTCCTAAGCCCTGGAGGCACTGACGACTCAGGCACTAGCACTCTATCACACAGTATTGAGAGAATATGGACAACAGTCTCCTCATCATCATTCCCCAGACCCCTCAAAACCCCTGAATACATTGCCTTCTGTTGCAAAACCCCCCTCAACAACCTTGGATTTCCGACCTCCAAAAATGCCATAGCAAACCGCACATATGCTTTCCTTGTTGAATATTTCTTCCTTCTTTCCTCAAATCTTTTTGCCCTCAATTTGACTTCTGCGAGCTTTGGAAAAATAGTTAGCTTAAAATCAAAAGTCTTTGCCATATCCCACGCCAATTGGGAATTACGCCTTGTGACCGAGGCCAACAACTGGAGCGCAGGATTCTGTCTCTTCGCCTCTTTACTATTCAACTCCTTATACAAATCCTTCATCTTCTCCTCAATTATCACTCGCGCAAACTTATCCAATGCCCGGCCAATATTAACACCACTATTCCCATCCAAATTATCAATCATCCCAGCAGGATGGGTTAAAATCACGGAAATCAAACTTAAAAGATAAGAAAACCCAGGTTTTTCCTTCCGGGCATCCCAGGCCTGGAAAATTTCAATGAGCTTGGATGATGTTTGAACGTAAAGGTGGAGGAATTCCCGTCCAAAGTCGGATTGGAGCAATTTGATGAATTCTTTCGATGCGTCGTAGCATAGTTTTGATTCAACCGAAGTGAGATTGCGGAGTAGTTCTTTGAGTTTGGCTTCATGGTTAATTTTGTTGGCGAATTCTGGCAGCTTTTGTTCATTGCAGTCAATTTCACCTGTATTTTCCATTCGCACTTGAAGGAACAGAGAGAGAGAGAGAGAGAGAGAGAGAGAGAGCCCAAAAACCCTACCCCTAAAACCTTAAACCTCAATGTCCCTGCTATCTCCTTTTTTCTTTCTTCTTTCCAGAGAAAGAGAGACGTCAAGCCCTAAAACCCCACCCCATAAAACCTCAATGTCCCTGATATCTCCATTTTTTTATTATTAATTTTTTTTTTTTTTTTTGAACCGATGGCGCTCCCTTTTCTATTTTTTTATAATAGTATAAAAGCTAAAAAAAAATAATAAATAATAATAATAATAATAATAATAATAAAATAAAAAAAGAAAAAGAAAAAATAAGTCACTAAACTGATCGAATTAACTTCTATTGATGTATTATTTTATCAAGATTTAAGTCCTCCTTTGGCCCCCTTTTTTTTAAATGAAAATGATTGAAATAGTATTTTTTCGAAAAATAAGTTATTATAAAAGAAGGAAAAATCTCCAGGGTTTACATGTAATATTATTTTATGAAAGATTGCATGTTTGAGAATAGGAAAGAGAAAAATGAAATGTAATATAATGAGATTCAAACAATAGCTAAAATAGTTCTTGCAGTAAATATAATAGTATTTATGAATATTTTTATATCTGTACATTCCTAATAACCATAATTCTTTCCTGTAGTGCTTTTGCTGTTAATAAAACATATAATTCTATTGATTTCTTTCTTATGTTATCTCTTTTTACTCGGACCGCACAAAAAAATCACGAAATCGCAAATTGAACCGAAACCATTGAGTTGAAACCGTTGGTTCGGGTCCACGTGGACCCGTGGTTTCTTTTTCCTCAAACCGAACCAAGGTTTAGGTTTTGATTTTCAAAAACCGCACAAAACCAAAACAAACCGTTTTTTAATTTTTTAATTAAAAAATTAATGTCATTAACTTAAAAATTTTACAATTTTCACTTAAAAAAATTTTCAATTTAACAATACAAATTACAACAGCCTATTGAAATAATCATAGAAAGTAAATTAGATTCATCATTATTGACATATGATTTAATAGGTTCACAGTACATGTCCTCACCTAATACCTAAACTAAACTAAAATTATTCAAAAATCATATAAAATGAAAAAAAAACATATATTTTCAACAATTCAAATCATAATTTAACAAAACTATATCAGTAAATCACGTCCAAAGTTTCAGAAACCATAACATAAGTTCTAATTTCTGTAACATTTGACGCTTGTCTACCACTGTTGAACGAATCGCTAGTTGCCTTCACCTGTTAGTCTACAAATATCTACCTGAATCGTCTCTTTCTCTCTTCTCTTTCGATAAGTTTTAGATTTTTATTCTGGCCATTTTCCATTGTTCTTTCTTTTATTTGTTTTTTTAAACTTATTATATACTTGTGAGTTGTGGTTTAGATAGAAAAATAATTATTTGTTTGTCTAGATGATTAATGAACTTGTTTTTTATTTGAAAAGAACGAATGACGAAGTATATTGATTGTGTGAAAAATGTTAAAATTCCCTAACTAGTTCTACTACCTTTTACTTTACATCTCACTAGCAAAACAAAAAGAAGTTTTAATTAAACTATAATAATAGAATGTAACTCTACATTTACCAACCGTTATATAACAATATGAATGTCAAACAAGAAAAGGTAAATAAAAATGAAGAAAGATGTATTTGTTCTATTAACATCTTTTAACAAACAATTTTGAAAATAATTTATTCATGTGTTCCATGGTAAATATGAATGTAATTTAATATTTAACATTATTAGTTATCGTTTATACTTATTTTTACCTATGTTCAATACATTATTATAATGTCGAAAGGTAAATCGCGAATTAACATCGAACCAAACCGCAAATTATGGTTTGGTTTGAAAAATAAAATGGTTTGGTTTGATTTGAAAAAATTTCAAACCGCTAAAAATGGTTTGAGTTGAAAATTTAGTACAAACTGCTCAAATCGAACCGTGTTCACCCTAACTTTTTATCTCTAGTTTATAACACGTTATTGGCATGATAATTTTATTCAAAATTTAATATTCTGTCTAAAGAAAAGAAAATGCAGCATTACTTCTTTTATGTTTCAAAAAAAATTCCAACTTTAATTCAAATTCGAATTCGTGGAAGGTAGTAAATTTTGTTGGTATACGGGAAGCGATCTTATGTATGTACTAATTAATTAACTTTAGTGAAGCATACTGCAATGAATTATGGTAACGGAAAACCCTTTTTCCACTTTAAGAATGGTGGCTCATGCCACGCAATTTTGGTGACTTGGTGCATTATTATTTGTCATTTATGATTGATTTCATAACTATGATATATTTAGAATAGGATTTTAATATTTGTACATGAAAATAATACATAAGCAATTATAAAAAATGGTGCATGGAAAAGATTGGAAGAAAAATTTGACTGTATTCTAAACTGGAAAATGATAGTATGTCATGGAGTTATTATGTAATTCTTTATGTAAACCTTGATGTACTTGTGGTTGGGTCCTTTAGAGTATATTTGAGCCCTAATTTTTTAAAATAATGCATTATAAGATAGTATTTTGATAAAAATATGTGGTTAAAAACTAAGAAAAAGTTTTAATTTAAGTGTAATATGATTTTATTGAAAAATGTGTTATTGAAAATAAAAATAAAAATTGAGAAAAATGTATTTTAGAAATAATGGAGACCAAATAATGGCTTGATTAGTTAATCAATTAGATAGTTTACTTGATGTTGAAAGTGGGCCAATTCTATTTCTTTCCAACTCCGTTTCGGAATACATGCATCAGCTTTGGTAATTGATTTTTTTTTTTCCATATACATATATCTTGAAGATTTTTTTCTAACGTGTGTTTTGGTAATTAATCTTTATATATAAATTCATATCATATATGTTTGGTAATTAAATTTTATATATAAATTCTATCATGTTTGTATGGTAATTAATATTTTTTTAATCCAAATAAATATTTTTAGATATTCTTTTATAAACTTTAAATTTATAATTCAAATTTACAATATTATAACTAATATTCCAGAAAAATATTATTCATAGATTTATTTATTACAAATATTTTATTGTTGTTCCGGAAATAGCACAATATTATTTTCATTAATATTCTTGTTAGATTTTACTTGCTTCCAAATAACTTAATAATATAGATCAAATATAAATTATATTTTTACTCCTTAAGAGTAAAATCTTGTATAATTTATTATAATAATATTGATTGCTCTTGAAAAGTATGAATTATTATTTTCAATATTTCAGATAAATATTGAGATATTGCTTTCAAATGAGTAATGATGAAATACAATGTACTCTTGAAGTATCACATCTTTCCTAAAAATGTATCATTTTGAATTCATATTTATCCCTAAATGATAATATATAACTTATATCATGAAAAACATTGATTAGTTTGACTACTTGAGTGATATATGACGATATAATGTTTGATCATATTCATTGAAATTAATTAATTGAATTATATATTATATTGAACCAGGAATTCAATTTGACTTTATTGTTTGGCATGACCAGTTGGATCATCGTTGAATCAATAATGATGCGAAATTAAAAATTTTAATGGATATTCAATGAAGAACCTGAAGATTTTTCAATCCAATAAAATCCTATGTGATGTTTGTTCTTTTTCATGAAAATTTTTCTCTAACCATCACTAGCTAAAATAGAGACTGAATTTGATAGTGCAATTAATCCACCATATTGCATTGAGATAAAAAGTAAAGAATTTGGGAAGAAATACATAATTTGAATAATTATCTCAAATGAGTAATATTTAATAAACGCAATTTGTTGATTAAACAATTCTCTCAGCATTAGGGAGAATTAAGAAACAGAAATAATGTACAAATGCATTATTATCTAAATTCTCCCAAAAGATAATTCAAGTCAAAATTCCAAAAGATAATTTATTCAGATAGATTTACTAATCAAAGATATTAACAATATCTCACAAACCATGTTTAAATGCTACAACTCGAATTAACATTCTGGAGAACAATTGGTTAATATTATATTTGATAAATGGCACGTCTAAGCATGGCAATAGTCGATTCTAATAAAAAAATTTCAAATTAAAATGGCGCATTTAGCAAAAATGGTCCAATCAAGGAGACATGCACTATTGAGAGTATTTAGACATAACAAATTATAAAATCCCATAAGAGATTCATATACATGATATGTTAAAATTTACGATATTTAAATAAGTTATGTCGTTGTAGAGTAAGAAATAGAATCGAAAAAGAAAAACTACTCAATAATAGTTTTATACATGATGTATTACATCATATTTGAATAGTGAAGAATCGAAATAAATTCATCGAAATATATCGATTGAAGTGATGATCCTAAATTGAATTTAGGAAAGAAACTCGAAGTTTATGGACCAGCAATCTGAAAATCTAAATATATATACCAATGTTGTCAAAATCAGCCCGACCCAGCTAGTTTGACCAGTAAAATCAGGCCCCAAATCGGGCCTAGGAGCAATCATGCCCAATTAACCGAATTGTAAATCGATAAATCGATCGTGATTTTGTAATTTTCCCAAAATTTTTTTAGTTTAAAAAACTTTTAATTTCATGATTGGGCCTCATAAACTATAATCCAAAGGCCTATAGAGAAATATTGAATGACATACTCCTTTTATAGATGCTCATTTCTCAAATGGCTTCGTAAACTTCCAATGTGAGATAGTGCATTTTATAGATGCACTTCTCTCCAACGATTTCATAAACTTTTAATGTGGGATAGTGACATAACAAAAATGTTAAAATGATCATCAAAATCATTTTTCAAATGTATGTCTAATTAACTAATTTGATTTTGAATCCCTGTTCATTTATTTAATTTTCAAATTTAACTTAGATTGCACTTGATTATTAATATATTAATGTTAGATACTATTTTCTATAAGTTTAAACTATTTTAATTTAGCAAGGCAAACTATTCTAAACATTGATTTTTAATTTTTGAAGTATCGAGACTAATTGTAGGATAATGAATTTAATTAACAAATTATTAATATAATTTTTTTAAAAAAGTTATTATTTTCACAGTATTTTATTATTTTTGTATGTATTTATTGTATCCGATTCGATCCTGATTTGACC